TACCTGTGTCTATATGTACCTGTGTGTCTCTGTGTCTATATGTACCTGTGTCTATATGTACCTGTGTCTATGTGTCTATATGTACCTGTGTCTATATGTACCTGTGTCTCTGTGTCTATATGTACCTGTGTCTCTGTGTCTATATGTACCTGTGTCTATATGTACCTGTGTCTGTGTCTATATGTACCTGTGTTCCTCTGTACCTGTGTTCCTCTGTACCTGTGTTCCTCTGTACCTGTGTCTATATGTACCTGTGTGTCTGTGTCTATATGTACCTGTGTCTGTGTCTATATGTACCTGTGTTCCTCTGTACCTGTGTTCCTCTGTACCTGTGTCTATATGTACCTGTTTTGTTTTCACTTTTGACTTTTCTTTTTGCGTCCCTGTGTTTCCATCCTCCATCTCCTCTGATCCCTGTGGACCTGTGTACCTGTGCTCTGCAGTGAACATGGTAAACTGGGCTCACAGGGACCTGGTGCCATGAATCCAGTCCAAACGTGTGTTTGTTGAGTCTGTTGTGCCGCTGGTGTAACCGGCAGCTCCAGACTTATTAAAGTCATTCATCATCAGAGACAGTCTGACAGAGACGTCTGCTCCGTTACAACTGTTATTATTGATATGATCTGCTTTGAATATTATTGTTGTTGTAAATAGTATAGAAATAAACAGCTGGAGAATAACTGCATGTTTCTGTAGAAGCGGTAAAAAGAGCAGAAACAAGGTCTGGAGACAGTTTAAATGTGTTCGTGTGGCATCAGACCTGTGTGAACACTGCAACACAGCAGAAAACAAATGACACATTAACAAACAAACACTGAAAACTACAACGGGAGATTACCTGAAACTCACATGAGGCGTCCTGATCCAGCGGGATGGAAATGAAACCTAACACAATGGGCTGCCAGGGGTTAAAATGGCTGCCAGGGGTTAAAATGGCTGCCAGGGGTTAAAATGGCTGCCAGGGGTTAAAATGGCTGCCAGGGGTTAAAATGGCTTCCAGGGGTTAAAATGGCTTCCAGGGGTTAAAATGGCTGCCTGATTGCATCCAGGTGTGCAGGTGTGGGAGGGCGGGGCCAGCTGATGGGCTTGAGGGATTTCCCAGTTTCAGTTAAACCTTCCCCTGGTCTTTCCATGTGTAAACTCTGGTCCATGATCATCTCCTACATGTACGTCTGGTCTTACCATGTGTAAACTCTGGTCCATGGAGAATGTGATAGTAAAATAATCTGTTCTGGTTCAATCCAAATATCAAGAAACTGAAGCCGGAGCAAGAGGAATGTTTAGTAAATGTCATTGCTGCAAAGTTGTTGTGGCTCTATCCAAATCCAGACCTTGGACCAGATGAAATGAGTCCAGTGGTGTGGTCAGACCAGGCTGGGACAGAGTCAGTGGATGTTGGAGACGCCGAGGCCAGGGACAGAACATGTGAACGTTAAAGACATAAAAAAGCTAAAAACAGAAACATTACTTTATTAACTCTAAATCTAATAACAATCCAAACTCTCATTTATTTCTCTAGTTCAACTTAAAGCGTGAATCCAACACAAACCAGTTTATAATGTTTACCCAATCAGTAATTATGATTGTGATGATTGTGGCCCACAGTCTCTATTGTCTGGAAATGTATGGATAACAAAGTGACTGCAGGATCATAAACACTGGAGTAAACGTCTCCGGCCTCTTCGTGTCGGCTGAGAGCAAACATGGAAGAATATGTGAGCCCCCCCAGGAGTCCCCAGGAGCCCCCAGGAGCCCGTCCCAGAGGTGAGGCGTCTGTGGAGGCCTGGGCGGAGGGTGATGGAGCAGCCTGTCTCCGGCGCAGGCGTCTTTCCGGGACTCGTTTCTATTGAAATGTGCAACAACAGAGTGCTCTTCTGCAGATGGCCACATTAGGTCACCGTGACAGGCGCTCGCAGATCTGCCGCCTTCCACTCGTCACACTGCGGAGACAAGAGGCCTCTCTGAAGCCGCTTCAGGAGCCAACGGGAGGCTTTAGGGCCTTTGTGTTCCCGATGGCAAGCAGCCAGAGGGGCCACAGTGCAGCAGGGGCCTCAGTGCAGCGGGGGCCACAGCACGGACACACACAGGTGCTCCATCTACATCACTGTGTTATGTACTGGGTCTGGTGTTTGCAACGGAAGCACAATTCAATTCATTTCATTCTTGTATCGCCCTAAATCACGTTTTATCTCTGTGGACTTTACAAAGCTGTCGATTCACCAACAACAGATCAGAGAATCAAACAGTGAATGACTGAGGCTGTAGACCCAGGGCTGAGGCTGTAGACCCAGGACTGAGGCTGTAGACCCAGGACTGAGGCTGTAGACCCAGGACTGAGGCTGTAGACCCAGGACTGAGGCTGTAGACCCAGGGCTGAGGCTGTAGACCCAGGACTGAGGCTGTAGACCCAGGACTGAGGCTGTAGACCCAGGACTGAGGCTGTAGACCCAGGACTGAGGCTGTAGACCCAGGACTGAGGCTGTAGACCCAGGACTTGAATATAGCATCATAAGCCACAGACTGAGACTGTGGACATAGACAGTTCCTCTCGTGCAGGTGACTTCAGATTCTTCTTTAAACAGAGGCAGCAGCTGTTCGTCCTGAGACAGAAATGAGGAGAAAATGAAGTGAAAATCAGGGAAGTGTTGTATCTGTGCTGTCAGCAGCTGCTTATAGCCACACGCCGCACACACGCACACGCCGCACACGCCGCACACGCCGCCGCTAAAGCGGTGCATTTATTACTGCGCTGAGAGAAGCAGGCTGTAGTCGACCCTGTGGAGCACAGGATCCACAGCTGCAGATCAGCTGTGGTCTGATGTCTCCTCCGTCTGCAGCTCAGGATCTGTGTGAAACATTATTACCATCTGAGAAAGAATCTAAATGTAAACAACAGCTTTTATTCAGTGAATATCAACGTGTTTGTTAAGAGGAAAAGAAACTCTTTCTCTTTTGTGATGAATACAAGCGTTTCTCGCTTCATTGTTTGAACACATTATTTCAGCCGAACACAGAGCGACACAGTTGTTATTGGCTTAAACAACAACAACAGAAACACACTTTCAAACCTGATGCATTTACTCAAGTTTAGAACAAAAACCTTTAAACAAGAAGTTAGTGACAGAGAGAGAGGCCTGCAGCACAGGTGTTGGGTCAGAGAGTGTTTGTGTGTGTGTGTGTGTGTGTGTGTGTGTGTGTGTGTACGTGTGTGTGTCTGTAGGTGTGTGTGTGTGTGTGTGTGTGTGTGTGTCTGTAGGTGTGTGTGTGTGTGTGTGTACGTGTGTGTCTGTATGTGTGTGTGTGTGTGTGTGTCTGTAGGTGTGTGTGTGTGTGTGTGTACGTGTGTGTCTGTATGTGTGTGTGTGTGTGTGTGTGTGTGTGTGTGTGTGTGTGTGTGTGTGTACGTGTGTGTGTCTGTATGTGTGTGTGTGTGTGTCTGTATGTGTGTGTGTGTGTGTGTGTGTGTGTCTGTAGGTGTGTGTGTGTGTGTGTGTGTCTGTAGGTGTGTGTGTGTGTGTACGTGTGTGTGTCTGTATGTGTGTGTGTGTGTCTGTCTGTGTGTGTGTGTGTGTGTGTGTGTATGTGTGTGTGTGTGTGTCTGTAGGTGTGTGTGTGTGTGTGTGTGTGTGTGTGTGTGTCTGTAGGTGTGTGTGTGTGTGTGTGTGTGTGTGTCTGTAGGTGTGTGTGTCTGTAACTTGTGTGTGTGTGTGTGTGTGTGTGTGTGTGTGTCTGTAGGTGTGTGTGTGTGTGTGTGTGTGTGTCTGTAGGTGTGTGTGTGTGTGTGTGTGTGTGTGTCTGTAGGTGTGTGTGTGTGTGTGTGTGTGTCTGTAGGTGTGTGTGTGTGTGTGTGTGTGTGAGTGAGAGAGTGATTGGTGGAGAAGTGAATAATTATCATTAAAGACATCCTTAGACATTAGGCATATTTAGGTGGCCTGGTGCAAAAGAACTGCTCTAAACAAAGCTAATGCTAATGCTAATGCTAATGCTAACATTAGCTCCCGCTGCTCTTTGTGCCTTCCACTGCAGATAATCACTCTGAAGAATAAACCCATCACAGTCTGTCATTCTGTAAATGTACAGATGCCAGGACTTAATGACAGGTTAATAATTCAGGAGTAATGGTCGGAAGGCGAGGTGAGCTTTGATCTGAAGGATCACTGCAGCTTCAGATCGCACTGATATCGTCATGTGGCCCCGGGCCCCGGGCTCCGTCTGTGCGTCTTCATTCATGTTACAGCGACTTCAGCCTGACATGTGGAGCACGCACAGAATCATGGCCTTTTCTTTCTTACAGAATAATTATCATGCATTATTTTGTCCTTTAAGATTTACAACGAGACTTTTCACTATGAACTACTATTTCCTGTTTAGAACGTGAAAAAACATGTGAAATAGAAAATATATGGTGTCGCTGGTATAAACATGGTGTTGGTGCAACTGGTTGATTCATGTTTGTTAATTTACTGCTTTTAATGAATCCAAGTTAATGATTAGGATATACTCATCACAGATCTTTCTAAACTCTTAAAGAAGTTTCTTCTAATCATTTCTGAATCGTTTTATTACTTTTTACCAAGTCCAAAAAGAGACTAAATTAAACGATTTGTCTTTTCACACAGTGCATGACTTCAGGACAGAGACCTGAGACCAGGACTAATGTGAGAGGACTTCAGGACAGAGACCTGAGACCAGGACTAATGTGAGAGGACTTCAGGACAGAGACCTGAGACCAGGACTAATGTGGGAGGACTTCAGGACAGAGACCTGAGACCAGGACTAATGTGATGGCTGAGTCCAGTATTACCCCTGGATTTCTGACCTGATTTGAAGGTCTCAGTGAGACTAGACATAGATCTGAGTCTACGGAATGAACAGAGGAGGTCCCAGGATCGACCCCTGTGGTACTCCACAGGTCAGGGCCAGCACAGTGTCCCCACATTCATGAAAGATTTATAGTTAAAAGAAACATGACCCAAAAGTGAATCACTCAGGGTCATGTGTTACTCCTTGACTCCTTTGGGTAAGCTCCTGTGGAGCTCCCTGAGGGGAGGTGAGCTCCTGTAGAGCTCTTTGAGAGGAGGTGAGCTCCTGTGGAGCTCCCTGAGAGGAGGTGAGCTCCTGTGGAGCTCCTTGAGAGGAGGTGAGCTCCTGTAGAGCTCCCTGAGAGGAGGTGAGCTCCTGTAGAGCTCCTTGAGAGGAGGTGAGCTCCTGTAGAGCTCCTTGAGAGGAGGTGAGCTTTTGTGGAGCTCCCTGAGAGGAGGTGAGCTCCTGTGGAGCTCCCTGAGAGGAGGTGAGCTCCTGTGGAGCTCCTTGAGAGGAGGTGAGCTCCTGTAGAGCTCCTTGAGAGGAGGTGAGCTCCTGTAGAGCTCCTTGAGAGGAGGTGAGCTCCTGTAGAGCTCCTTGAGAGGAGGTGAGCTCCTGTGGAGCTCCTGTGGAGCTCCCTGAGAGGAGGTGAGCTCCTGTGGAGCTCCTTGAGAGGAGGTGAGCTCCTGTAGAGCTCCTTGAGAGGAGGTGAGCTCCTGTAGAGCTCCTTGAGAGGAGGTGAGCTCCTGTGGAGCTCCTGTGGAGCTCCCTGAGAGGAGGTGAGCTCCTGTGGAGCCCCTGAGAGGAGGTGAGCTCCTGTGGAGCTCCCTGAGAGGAGGTGAGCTCCTGTGGAGCTCCTGTAGAGCTCCCTGAGAGGATCAGGATCTACACATGTTACAAACACATCACACCCTCACATGAAGAGACGTGTGACCCCACCCTCGTGCAGCACAGACGATTAAACCTGAGGTGTTTGAATGCAGGCGGTACCAGTGAGAACAGGACCGGCATTCCAGAGGTGAGCAGAAACAACAGCGTCCCGGAGCCCTCCGCGAGGCGCAGGCACAGGGCAGCGTGGTCATGCCTCTCGCCGGATCTGTCACCAGCTTCTTAGTGTGTCCCAGAGTCGCTGACGTGCTTTGTCTGCCGTGCATTCCCCACGGAACAGACCTGGGAACAGCATCACATGCACCACAGCCATTTATCATCAATGAAAGGACTCGGGATTTGGAAATGATCCGTGATAGAACTCTTTCTCTTATCAGCATCATGTGTTTGTTTGGATTTATCAAAATATCTACATAACTATTTGTCCTATCAACCCATCTATCTATCTATCTATCAATCTATCAATCTATCTATCTCTATCTATCTATCTGTCTATCTGTCTGTCTGTCTGTCACTTGACCATCGACTGCGTTTTATGCAAAGTGACACATTCAAAGCCTTTGTTTATTTAGACTCAAATATTTGGAAATGTAAAGACTCGTCTCATTCTCGACATAACTTTGTGACCAGTTTATTTCTATGTCAGTGTTTCGAGCAACACACTGTTTACTGTTACCATAGCAACACACTGTTTACTGTCAGAGGTTAGCATTAGCCTTTTGTCTGTATTTCTGTATATCTGTATTTATAGTTTTACATAGTATAAGTATAGTATAGTTTTAACACATATTAAAAGTGAGTAAAGGTGTGTGTTCATGAATCTGGTGAAAAACGTATTTGGGGTAATTTCTCAGAATTCCATTGGTTTGAACGGGACCAGTCTCTGGGAGTCCTGGTTTCATAGATCTGAGCTCCTTCAGAGTCTGAGGCTGCAGCAGGAGGCGCTGTGATTGGTCCAGAGGGTGTGGACGCTACAGCAGCAGGAGGCGCTGTGATTGGTCCAGAGGGTGTGGACGCTACAGCAGCAGGAGGCGCTGTGATTGGTCCAGAGGGTGTGGACGCTACAGCAGCAGGAGGCGCTGTGATTGGTCCAGAGGGTGTGGACGCTACAGCAGCAGGAGGCGCTGTGATTGGTCCAGAGGGTGTGGAGACGCTACAGCAGCAGGGGGCGCTGTGATTGGTCCAGAGGGTGTGGAGACGCTACAGCAGCAGGAGGCGCTGTGATTGGTCCAGAGGGTGTGGACGCTACAGCAGCAGGAGGCGCTGTGATTGGTCCAGAGGGTGTGGACGCTACAGCAGCAGGAGGCGCTGTGATTGGTCCAGAGGGTGTGGACGCTACAGCAGCAGGAGGCGCTGTGATTGGTCCAGAGGGTGTGGACGCTACAGCAGCAGGAGGCGCTGTGATTGGTCCAGAGGGTGTGGAGACGCTACAGCAGCAGGGGGCGCTGTGATTGGTCCAGAGGGTGTGGAGACGCTACAGCAGCAGGAGGCGCTGTGATTGGTCCAGAGGGTGTGGACGCTACAGCAGCAGGAGGCGCTGTGATTGGTCCAGAGGGTGTGGACGCTACAGCAGCAGGAGGCGCTGTGATTGGGCCAGAGGTGTGGACGCTCAGCAGCAGGAGGCGCTGTGATTGGTCCAGAGGGTGTGGAGACGCTACAGCAGCAGGAGGAGGAGGGTGTGGACGCAGCAGGAGGCGCTGTGATGTGTGATTGGTCCAGAGGGTGTGGACGCTACAGCAGCAGGAGGCGCTGTGATTGGTCCAGAGGGTGTGGAGAGCAGCAGGAGGCGCTGTGATGATTGGTCCAGCAGGAGGCGCTGTGATTGGTCCAGAGGGTGTGGAGACGCTACAGCAGCAGGAGGCGCTGTGATTGGTCCAGAGGGTGTGGAGACGCTACAGCAGCAGGAGGCGCTGTGATTGGTCCAGAGGGTGTGGACGCTACAGCAGCAGGAGGCGCTGTGATTGGTCCAGAGGGTGTGGAGACGCTACAGCAGCAGGAGGCGCTGTGATTGGTCCAGAGGGTGTGGACGCTACAGCAGCAGGAGGCGCTGTGATTGGTCCAGAGGGTGTGGAGACGCTACAGCAGCAGGAGGCGCTGTGATTGGTCCAGAGGGTGTGGAGACGCTACAGCAGCAGGAGGCGCTGTGATTGGTCCAGAGGGTGTGGAGACGCTACAGCAGCAGGAGGCGCTGTGATTGGTCCAGAGGGTGTGGAGACGCTACAGCAGCAGGAGGCGCTGTGATTGGTCCAGAGGGTGTGGAGACGCTACAGCAGCAGGAGGCGCTGTGATTGGTCCAGAGGGTGTGGAGACGCTACAGCAGCAGGAGGCGCTGTGATTGGTCCAGAGGGTGTGGACGCTACAGCAGCAGGAGGCGCTGTGATTGGTCCAGAGGGTGTGGAGACGCCACACAGAGAGGCAGCATCAGCGTCCGTCAGCGCCGCCATTATCCTTTGTTCAACCCAAAAGCAGCTTCAGCAGGTGATGAAAGTACAGGTTAAAGTGCACTGGGCCGAGACACACACCACCACGCACCGCTACACACACCATGACACACACCATGACACACACACACAAACACACACACCACACACACACCGCTACACACACCATGACACACACATCACTACACACACCATGACACACACCGCTACACACACCACACACACACACACACACACACACACACACACACACACACACACACACACACACACACACACACACACACACACACAGACCTGGTGTTTCTGATCTAGGGTCAGTGATGATGTGAGACCTGTTTGTGGAAAGCAGACGCACACATGCAGCTGTGTTTTGCAGCTGTGTTTTGGTGCAAACACATTGTTGTTTTGTTAGAAATGAAATGTGTTTAAAGATCCTGAGCCGTCTGATCCTCTGTACGTTACTTTCTTCTCCAAAAAAGATTCAAAACAGTCAAATATTCATTTAAGTATAAATGTATGTAAATGTTCCATGGAGCCAGGTCAGTTTTCTGTGTCTGCCTTTGCCACGCCCACACCTGCCACACCTCTGAAGCTAAACAGGGCAGTTCCTGGTCAGTACTGTGATGGGAGACCTCAGGGAACACCATGAACCACACTGGTGCAGACCTCAAAGAGACCTCAAAGAGACCTCACAGACTTCACTGCAGCCGCAAACAGGAAGTAACAGAGCAGCGGTGACAGACGCCCGCAGAACACTGTGTTTTTGTGAACCTATGTGGTGACCCACATCTGCCCCCCCTCACCGCGACCCCCACATCTGCCCCCCCTCACCCCAACCCCCGCCAGCCGCTGACTTTGGACCTGACCCATTCAAGACGCGTTCAAAGGAGCAGAGTTTTCTGGGTGATAATAGATTTGTTTGTGATATTGTTGAGGTCAATCTTGCTTCTCATCAAGAAGGTCCTGGGTTCGACTCAAGAAGGTCCTGGGTTCGACTCAAGAAGGTCCTGGGTTCGACTCAAGAAGGTCCTGGGTTCGACTCAAGAAGGTCCTGGGTTCGACTCAAGAAGGTCCTGGGTTCGACTCAACAAGGTCCTGGGTTCGACTCAAGAAGGTCCTGGGTTCGACTCAAGAAGGTCCTGGGTTCGAATCTAGTCAGAACAGGGCCTTTCTGAATGGAGTTTTCATGTTCCCCCCGTGTCTGCGTAAGTTTCCTCCGGGTGCTCCAATTTTCCCTACCCCTAAAAACATGTACAATAGTCTGAATGAATGAGTGAATGGATGGTGTTTGGTCGGAGGCTTTGATGGTCCAGTGTGTTCTGGTCTCGCTTCTGTCGTCACTGTGTGAAGAGAATGGAAAAGTATCTGACTCTGAACTTTGTAAAGAGCTTTGTGTCTGTGTCTTGGTTTGTAAAATGTGCTATACAAATAATCATTACTTACTGACTTCCACCACCACCAACCACTCACACACTCACCAGACTCACTCTAATGTGGGGGAACAATTCTACAGCATGTTAGAACAGTGCATTGTGTGTGAGTGTGTGTGTGTATGTCAGGTGTGTGTGTGTGTGTCTGTGTAAGTAAGTAGTAAGTAAGTTTTTATTTATATACCGCCTTTTCACTGCAGATCTGAGTCTCAAAGCGGTTTACAATTGTTATTTTTTGGGCATTTGTCTCTCACTCCACACAGAGATGGGAGCGGGGCCAGTACAGGAGGCACATGCCAGAACTATTGGACATATTTTTAGTGGTAGGGGAAACCGGAGTACCCCGGAGGAAACCTACGCAGACACGGGGAGAACATACAAACTCCACTCAGAAAGGCCCTGGTCCGACCGGGATTCGAACCCAGGACCTTCTTGCTGAGAGGCGAGAGTGCTATCCACTCAGCCACCGTGCCGTGTGTGTGTGAGTGTGTGTGTGTGTGTGGTCTGTGTGTGTGTGTGTGTGTGTGTGGGTGCATGTGTGTGCGTGTGTGTGTGTGTGTGTGTGTGTTGTGTGTGTCTGTGTGTGTGTGAGTGTGTGTGTGTGTCCATGTGTGTGTGTGTGGTGTGTGTCTGTGTGTGTTGTGTGTGTGTATGTCAGGTGTGATGTGTGTGTGTGTGTGTGTGTGGTGTGTGTGTGTGTGTGTGTGTGTGTGTGTGTGTGTGTGTTCTGTGTGTGTGTGTGATGTGTGTGTGTGTGTGTCTGTGTGTGTGTGTGTGTGTGTTGTATGTCAGGTGTGTGTGTGTATGTCAGGTGTATGTGTGTGTGTGTGTGCGTGTGTGTGTGTGTGTGGTGTGTGTGTTTGTATGTCAGGTGTGTGCGTGTGTGTGTGTGGTGCGTGTGTGTGTGTGTGTGTGTGTGTGTGTGTGTATGTCAGGTGTGTGCGTGTGTGTATGTCAGGTGTGTGTGTGTGTGTGTGTGAGGGGTTGGTATCAAAAAAGCATCTATGGAATAACTAATAAATGAACACATGAAGCTGACTTCTCTGAGTACTGAGTTGTGTTTTCATTTTACTGATAACACTTGACACTTGGCGAATGGATTGTTTGGGAGTTGATTGAGTGTTGCTGCAGATGGAAAGAGTTTAGAAGCATAGCTAACCTTTACATTGCTAATACATGTGTAGCTCCTGCAGAGAGTGAGTGACAGTCTGATGTTTACAGTCTCCTCAAGTCAAGCCTGTTATCATGAGTATTATCGATATCACGTTCACAGATTCGTGCAGTGACAGCTCCGTCGCTCCAGGCCGCGCTGAATTCCCCATTGACATGAACGCGGAGATACAGCGGAGATACAGCGGAGATACAGCAGAGATACAGCGGAGATACAGCAGAGATACAGCGGAGATACAGCAGAGATACAGCAGAGATACAGCGGAGATACAGCAGAGATACAGCAGAGATACAGCGGAGATACAGCGGAGATACAGCGGAGATACAGCAGAGATACAGCGGAGATACAGCAGAGATACAGCAGAGATACAGCAGAGATACAGCGGAGATACAGCGGAGATACAGCAGAGATACAGCGGAGATACAGCAGAGATACAGCGGAGATACAGCAGAGATACAGCGGAGATACAGCAGAGATACAGCAGAGATACAGCAGAGATACAGCGGAGATACAGCGGAGATACAGCGGAGATACAGCGGAGATACAGCGGAGATACAGCAGAGATACAGCAGAGATACAGCGGAGATACAGCGGAGATACAGCGGAGATACAGCAGAGATACAGCGGAGATACAGCGGAGATACAGCAGAGATACAGCAGAGATACAGCAGAGATACAGCGGAGATACAGCGGAGATACAGCGGAGATACAGCGGAGATACAGCGGAGATACAGCGGAGATACAGCAGAGATACAGCAGAGATACAGCAGAGATACAGCGGAGATACAGCGGAGATACAGCAGAGATACAGCGGAGATACAGCAGAGATACAGCGGAGATACAGCAGAGATACAGCGGAGATACAGCAGAGATACAGCAGAGATACAGCAGAGATACAGCGGAGATACAGCAGAGAGATACAGCGGAGATACAGCGGAGATACAGCGGAGATACAGCAGGAGAGATACAGCAGAGATACAGAGGAGATACAGCAGAGATACAGCGGTGATACACGGAGATACAGCAGAGACTTACAGCGGAGATACAGCAGCGGAGATACAGCAGAATACAGAGATACAGGCAGAGATACAGCGGAGATACAGCGGAGATACAGCGGAGATACAGCAGAGATACAGCGGAGATACAGCAGAGATACAGCGGAAAGCGGGGAACTCCCTCCGGAAGAAGTCTGGCTCAGGTTGATTTACATGGAACAGTGAACTCCTCTCGCTCAGTTTGTGGCACACTCAACTTTTTGGGTTTTAAAAAATCGTGGTTTAGCGTTTTCTCTATGATTCTGTTGTTTTTATTTTGGTTTAGTCCAGATATGAGCGGCTCAGGAGCCCCCTGCTGGAGAAGTATGATAACGCCATTATCTTCTCCTCTTCCTACTTTATCTGTCATCATTATGTTCATTGCTATTCACCCACTGTTCCATTGTCTGTTTTATGGAGTGATGATGGGTCCTGGGTCTACAGCCTCAGTCCTGGGTCTACAGCCTCAGTCCTGGATCTACAGCCTCAGTCCTGGTGTTTACCAGAAACACATCTGCTTTTGTCTTTAATAAGTCAATAACCACATCAACACCAGCGAGGGCCACGACCACAGAACCCATCACTGCAGCTCATGCACCTCCCCCAGGTGTCACTGCAGCTCCTGCACCTCCCCCAGGTGTCACTGCAGCTCCTGCACCTCCCCCAGGTGTCACTGCAGCTCCTGCACCTCCCCCAGGTGTCACTGCAGCTCCTGCACCTCCCCCAGGTGTCTCTGCAGCTCATGCACCTCCCCCAGGTGTCATTGCAGCTCATGCACCTCCCCCAGGTGTCACTGCAGCTCCTGCACCTCCCCCAGGTGTCTCTGCAGCTCCTGCACCTCCCCCAGGTGTCACTGCAGCTCCTGCACCTCCTCCAGGTGTCTCTGCAGCCCCTGCACCTCCCCCAGGTGTCTCTGCAGCCCCTGCACCTCCTCCAGGTGTCTCTGCAGCCCCTGCACCTCCCCCAGGTGTCACTGCAGCTCATGCACCTCCCCCAGGTGTCACTGCAGCTCCTGCACCTCCCCCAGGTGTCACTGCAGCTCCTGCACCTCCTCCAGGTGTCTCTGCAGCCCCTGCACCTCCCCCAGGTGTCACTGCAGCCCCTGCACCTCCCCCAGGTGTCACTGCAGCTCCTGCGCCTCCCCCAGGTGTCACTGCAGCTCCTGCACCTCCCCCAGGTGTCACTGCAGCTCATGCACCTCCCCCAGGTGTCACTGCAGCTCCTGCGCCTCCCCCAGGTGTCACTGCAGCTCATGCACCTCCCCCAGGTGTCACTGCAGCTCATGCACCTCCCCCAGGTGTCACTGCAGCTCCTGCACCTCCCCCAGGTGTCACTGCAGCTCATGCACCTCCCCCAGGTGTCTCTGCAGCTCATGCACCTCCCCCAGGTGTCACTGCAGCTCCTGCGCCTCCCTCAGGTGTCACTGCAGCTCCTGCGCCTCCCCCAGGTGTCACTGCAGCTCCTGCGCCTCCCTCAGGTGTCACTGCAGCTCCTGCGCCTCCCTCAGGTGTCACTGCAGCTCCTGCGCCTCCCCCAGGTGTCACTGCAGCTCCTGCGCCTCCCTCAGGTGTCACTGCAGCTCCTGCGCCTCCCTCAGGTGTCACTGCAGCTCCTGCACCTCCCTCAGGTGTCACTGCAGCTCCTGCGCCTCCCTCAGGTGTTACTGCAGCTCCTGCACCTCCCCCAGGTGTCACTGCAGCTCCTGCACCTCCCCCAGCTGTCACTGCAGCTCCTGCACCTCCCCCAGGTGTCACTGCAGCTCCTGCACCTCCCTCAGGTGTCACTGCAGCTCCTGCGCCTCCCTCAGGTGTCACTGCAGCTCCTGCACCTCCTCCAGGTGTCACTGCAGCTCCTGCACCTCCCCCAGGTGTCACTGCAGCTCCTGCACCTCCCCCAGGTGTCACTGCAGCTCCTGCACCTCCCCCAGGTGTCACTGCAGCTCCTGCACCTCCCCCAGGTGTCACTGCAGCTCCTGCACCTCCCCCAGGTGTCACTGCAGCTCCTGCACCTCCTCCAGGTGTCTCTGCAGCTCCTGCGCCTCCCCCAGGTGTCACTGCAGCTCCTGCACCTCCCCCAGGTGTCACTGCAGCTCCTGCACCTCCCCCATCTGTATCTCTGTGTTTGACTTCTCTGGATCCTGGGGATAGTTTCAGTTGCAGTAAAATGGAACAAGAACAAAGCAACAGTTAAACATGAAACATCTTTAATTAGTCGTTGTTAGTGAATTATTTTGTACATATCAAAAACTATACAAGACACACACTCCGGCTCCTGTTGACTCCTGTTGGCTCCTGTTGACTCCTGTTGACTCCTGTTGGCTCCTGTTGACTCCTGTTGGCTCCTGTTGGCTCCTGTTGACTCCTGTTGGCTCCTGTTGACTCCTGTTGGCTCCTGTTGACTCCTGTTGGCTCCTGTTGACTCCTGTTGACTCCTGTTGGCTCCTGTTGACTCCTGTTGGCTCCTGTTGGCTCCTGTTGGCTCCTGTTGGCTCCTGTTGTCTCCTGTTGACTCCTGTTGGCTCCTGTTGGCTCCTGTTGACTCCTGTTGGCTCCTGTTGACTCCTGTTGACTCCTGTTGACTCCTTCAGCTCAGACTCTCTTCGAACTGGATGGATTTTCAAACTTGATTTTTCTGTGATCATTTATGTTTTGATAATGTCTTTGTGAATCCAGATATGAGATAGACGTTAGCTCCTGAGATAGACGTTAGCTCCTGAGATAGACGTTAGCTCCTGAGATAGACGTTAGCTCCTGAGATAGACGTTAGCTCCTGAGATAGACGTTAGCTCCTGAGATAGACGTTAGCTCCTGAGATAGACGTTAGCTCCTGAGATAGACGTTAGCTCCTGAGATAGACGTTAGCTCCTGAGATAGACGTTAGCTCCTGAGATAGACGTTAGCTCCTGAGATAGACGTTAGCTCCTGAAATAGACGTTAGCTCCTGAGATAGATGTTAGCTCCTGAGATAGACGTTAGCTCCTGAGATAGATGTTAGCTCCTGAGATAGACGTTAGCTCCTGAGATAGACGTTAGCTCCTGAGATAGACGTTAGCTCCTGAGATAGATGTTAGCTCCTGAGATAGACGTTAGCTCCTGAGATAGATGTTAGCTCCTGAGATAGACGTTAGCTCCTGAAATAGACGTTAGCTCCTGAGATAGATGTTAGCTCCTGAGATAGACGTTAGCTCCTGAGATAGACGTTAGCTCCTGAGATAGACGTTAGCTCCTGAAATAGACGTTAGCTCCTGAGATAGATGTTAGCTCCTGAGATAGACGTTAGCTCCTGAGATAGACGTTAGCTCCTGAAATAGACGTTAGCTCCTGAGATAGATGTTAGCTCCTGAGATAGACGTTAGCTCCTGAGATAGACGTTAGCTCCTGAGATAGACGTTAGCTCCTGAGATAGATGTTAGCTCCTGAGATAGACGTTAGCTCCTGAGGCAGATGTTAGCGCCTGAGATAAACGTTAGCGCTTGAAATAAACGTTAGCGCCTGAGATAAACGTTAGCGCTTGAAATAAACGTTAGCGCCTGAGATAGACGTTAGCGCTTGAAATAAACGTTAGCGCCTGAGATAGACGTTAGCGCTTGAAATAAACGTTAGCGCCTGAGATAGACGTTAGCGCTTGAAAAAAACATTCGCGCCTGAGATAGACGTTAGCTCCTGAGATAGACGTTAGCTCCTGAGATAGACGTTAGCTCCTGAGATAGACGTTAGCTCCTGAGATAGACGTTAGCTCCTGAGACAGACGTTTGTTCCTGAGACAGAAGTTAGCGCCTCCAGATAAAAGCAGGACTTGATTGACAGCGGCTCAGGAGGAGAAAATCCCTGCTGTACGTGTTCTCGGTGAGAGGAGCACAGGGACTTACTGTGAGCCTGGGGCAGGGAACTTAATAATCCAATGCATTCATCAAACCAAGCAGACAATTAAATACGACCTGTAGATTCTTGCTGCTTTTCAAAAATGTGACCAGGCAGCTCCAAAGGTCAGCTCTGTGTCTCCGTCACTGAAACAGGAGGAAGATCAATGGGACTCGACCTCATGACGGAACACATACCTGCCACATTTGTCAGGATTCTTCATAGACAACCAGCAATTCCTACTATTCCTAAATCTAAAAACAAAAGTTAATTATGTCTTCTTCATGTTTAAGGCTTTGAAGGTTCTTCTAAGACAAGAAGAAGCACCAGATTCTTATACTTGTTTAAAATAATACTGTTTCAAATAATGAAAATAAAAAAAGAATGCATTGATTTTATACAGTGCTTCATTCTCTACTGTAGCCACAGCTGCCCTGGGGCACACTGACAGAAGCGAGGTCACCAGTCTGTGCCATCGGCCCCTCCCACCAACCATTCACACACACACCAGACTCATTCTAATGTGGGGGAAGTGTGTTGCCTAAGTGTCTCCCATTACAGCACTAACCAGGCCCTGCCCTGCTTAGCTTCAGAGGTCTCCCATCAGAGGTCTCCCATCACAGCACTAACCAGGCCCTGCCCTGCTTAGCTTCAGAGGTCTAATGAAGGTCAGTCTTTCAGGGACTATTGTACATGTTTTTTGTGGTTAACCCACGCAGACACGGGGAGAACATGCAAACTCACAGAAAGGACCGGGACCATAAACCACGGAGCTGTGAGTGTGGCCGGATCTCCCATGATGCAGTTTGGCTCTTTCTTCTTCAGAGCTTTGTTTGTGTCTTTGATGGTGTTGCTCTGGTGAGTGACAGCTGACGGACACCTCTCACCGCCCTCCACTTTTCAACACACAACACAACACAACACAACACAACGAAGCTTTTACCGACACCTGTGAGTTCTTCTTTGATGGTACGACCCTGGACACTTGGTACGACCCCGGACACTTGGTACGACCTCAGACACTTGGTACAATCACTGACACTTGGTACGACCCCGGACACTTGGTACGACCCTGGACACTTGGTACGACCCTGGACACTTGGTACGACCTGGACACTTGGTACGACCCTGGACACTTGGTACGACCCCGGACACTTGGTACGACCCTGGACACTTGGTACGACCCTGGACACTTGGTACGACCTCAGACACTTGGTACGACCCTGGACACTTGGTACGACCTCAGACACTTGGTACGACCCCGGACACTTGGTACGACCTCAGACACTTGGTACGACCTCAGACACTTGGTACAATCACTGACACTTGGTACAATCACTGACACTTGGTACGACCCCGGACACTTGGTACAATCACTGACACTTGGTACGACCCCGGACACTTGGTACGACCTCAGACACTTGGTACGACCTCAGACACTTGGTACAATCACTGACACTTGGTACGACCCCGGACACTTGGTACGACCCTGGACACTTGGTACGACCCTGGACACTTGGTACGACCCTGGACACTTGGTACGACCCTGGACACTTGGTACGACCCCGGACACTTGGTACAACCCTGGACACTTGGTACGACCCTGGACACTTGGTACGACCTCAGACACTTGGTACGACCCTGGACACTTGGTACGACCTCAGACACTTGGTACGACCCCGGACATTTGGTACGACCCCGGACACTTGGTACGACCTCAGACACTTGGTACGACCTCAGACACTTGGTACAACCCTGGACACTTGATATGAGCTGCATACAGTAGGAGTATGATAAAGCCATTATCCTCTCCTCTTCCTACTTTATCTGTCATCATTATGTTCATTGCTATTCACCAGCTGTCTCATTGTCTGTTTTATGGTGTGATGATGGAACCTATCTACAGCCTCAATCCTGGGTCTACAGCCTCAATCCTGGGTCTACAGCCTCAGTCCTGGGTCTACAGCCTCAGTCCTGGGTCTACAGCCTCAGTCCTGGGTCTACAGCCTCAGTCCTGGGTCTACAGCCTCGGTTTATGCCCCACACTGCTCAGCTTCTGACCAGGCTTTGACCAGAACTATTCCTAGTTTCAAAATTCATTATTATTGCTGTGAACAATCTGAACACAGAACAATGGTGTAAAGTGGGCCGCTGTGGTGCAGTGGGCCGCTGTGGTGCAGTGGGCCGCCGTGGTGCAGTGGGCCGCTGTGGTAGAGTGGGCCGCTGTGGTGGAGTGGGCCGCCGTGGTGCAGTGGGCCGCTGTGGTAGAGTGGGCCGCTGTGGTGGAGTGGGCCGCTGTGGTGGAGTGGGCCGCTGTGGTGGAGTGTGCCGCTTTGGTAGAGTGGGCCGCTGTGGTGGAGTGGGCCGCTGTGGTGGAGTGGGCCGCTGTGCTGGAGTGTGCCGCTGTGGTAGAGTGGGCCGCTGTGGTAGAGTGGGCCGCTGTGGTAGAGTGGGCCGCTGTGGTAGAGTGGGCCGCTGTGGTAGAGTGGGCCGCTGTGGTGGAGTGGGCCGCTGTGGTGCAGTGGGCCACTGTGGTGCAGTGGGCCGCTGTGGTAGAGTGGGCCGCTGTGGTAGAGTGGGCCGCTGTGGCAGAATGGGCCAGGATCAGGAGCCTCCAGACTTCAAAGAGCAGCGGCTGCAGCTCATCAGCTCACATCAAACCCTCACATCCAGGTCTTTGATCGTTTCATGAACTCACTGACTCAGAAACTGACACAAGCTTTCTCTTTTATCTTCAGGATCACAGGTCTCTAACATCTGTACAGGTCTCTAACATCTGTACAGGTCTCTAACATCTGTAACAGGTCTCTAACATCTGTACAGGTGTCTAACATCTGTACAGGTCTCTAACATCTGTAACAGGTCTCTAACATCTGTACAGGTCTCTAACATCTGTAACAGGTCTCTAACATCTGTACAGGTGTCTAACATCTGTACAGGTGTCTAACATCTGTACAGGTCTCTAACATCTGTACAGGTCTCTAACATCTGTACAGGTCTCTAACATCTGTAACAGGTCTCTAACATCTGTACAGGTGTCTAACATCTGTACAGGTGTCTAACATCTGTACAGGTCTCTAACATCTGTACAGGTCTCTAACATCTGTAGCAGGTCTCTAACATCTGTACAGGTGTCTAACATCTGTACAGGTCTCTAACATCTGTACAGGTGTCTAACATCTGTACAGGTCTCTAACATCTGTAACAGGTGTCTAACATCTGTAACAGGTGTCTAACATCTGTACAGGTCTCTAACATCTGTACAGGTCTCTAACATCTGTAACAGGTCTCTAACATCTGTACAGGTGTCTAACATCTGTACAGGTGTCTAACATCTGTACAGGTGTCTAACATCTGTAACAGGTCTCTAACATCTGTAACAGGTGTCTAACATCTGTACAGGTCTCTAACATCTGTAACAGGTGTCTAACATCTGTACAGGTCTCTAACATCTGTACAGGTCTCTAACATCTGTAACAGGTCTCTAACATCTGTAACAGGTCTCTAACATCTGTAACAGGTGTCTAACATCTGTACAGGTCTCTAACATCTGTAACAGGTGTCTAACATCTGTACAGGTCTCTAACATCTGTAACAGGTCTCTAACATCTGTAACAGGTCTCTAACATCTGTACAGGTCTCTAACATCTGTAACAGGTCTCTAACATTGTAGGTCTACAGGTGTCTCTAACATCTGTACAGGTGTCTAACATCTGTACAGGTCTCTAACATCTGTAACAGGTGTCTAACATCTGTACAGGTCTCTAACATCTGTAACAGGTGTCTAACATCTGTACAGGTCTCTAACATCTGTAACAGGTGTCTAACATCTGTACAGGTCTCTAACATCTGTAACAGGTCTCTAACATCTGTAACAGGTCTCTAACATCTGTAACAGGTCTCTAACATCTGTAACAGGTCTCTAACATCTGTAACAGGTCTCTAACATCTGTAACAGGTCTCTAACATCTGTAACAGGTCTCTAACATCTGTACAGGTCTCTAACATCTGTACAGGTGTCTAACATCTGTACAGGTCTCTAACACTGTATCTCTAACATCTGTAAGGTCTCTCTAACATCTGTACAGGTCTCTAACATCTGTACAGGTCTCTAACATCTGTAACAGGTGTCTAACATCTGTACAGGTCTCTAACATCTGTAACAGGTCTCTAACATCTGTACAGGTCTCTAACATCTGTAACAGGTCTCTAACATCTGTAACAGGTCTCTAACATCTGTAACAGGTCTCTAACATCTGTAACAGGTGTCTAACATCTGTACAGGTGTCTAACATCTGTACAGGTGTCTAACATCTGTACAGGTGTCTAACATCTGTACAGGTGTCTAACATCTGTACAGGTGTATAACATCTGTAACAGGTGTCTAACATCTGTACAGGTCTCTAACATCTGTAACAGGTGTCTAACATCTGTACAGGTGTCTAACATCTGTAACTGGTCTCTAACATCTGTACCGTTGTCTAACATCTGTACAGGTGTCTAACATCTGTACAGGTGTCTAACATCTGTAACAGGTCTCTAACATCTGTACAGGTGTCTAACATCTGTACAGGTGTCTAACATCTGTACAGGTGTATAACATCTGTAACAGGTGTCTAACATCTGTAACAGGTGTCTAACATCTGTACAGGTCTCTAACATCTGTAACAGGTGTCTAACATCTGTACAGGTCTCTAACATCTGTACAGGTCTCTAACATCTGTACAGGTGTCTAACATCTGTACAGGTCTCTAACATCTGTACAGGTGTCTAACATCTGTACAGGTGTCTAACATCTGTACAGGTGTATAACATCTGTAACAGGTGTCTAACATCTGTAACAGGTGTCTAACATCTGTACAGGTCTCTAACATCTGTAACAGGTGTCTAACATCTGTACAGGTCTCTAACATCTGTACAGGTCTCTAACATCTGTACAGGTGTCTAACATCTGTAACAGGTGTCTAACATCTGTACAGTACAGGTCTCTAACATCTGTACAGGTCTCTAACATCTGTACAGGTCTCTAACATCTAAGTAAGTAATATTTATTGATATAGCGCCTCTCACAGACCAGAGTCTTTTGGGCCTTTGTCTCTGACTCCACAGACTGTACTCTAACATCTGACCAGGGCACTAACATTACTGATACTATAGTACTGATACTATAGTACTGATACTATAGTACTGATACTATAGTACTGATACTATAGTACAGACACTACTATAGTACAGACACTATAGTACTGATACTATAGTACAGATACTATAGTAAAGATACTGTAGTACTGATACTATAGTACTGATACTATAGTACTGATACTATAGTACAGATACTATAGTACTGATACTATAGTACTGATACTATAGTACAGATACTATAGTACAGACACTACTATAGTACAGATAAAGTACTGAGGACAGGTGTCTCTGTGGGACAGAGTTACACAGCTGCAGTCTGATGAATCCACAGCTCCTGCTGTTCCACATAAACAGATAAATATAATGTCTGTCCAAAGATGCTTCATTCTCTCTGTTCACAGTAAACTACTGTAGCCACAGCTGCCCCGGGGCACACTGACCAAAGCCACAGCTGCCCGGGGCACACTGACCAAAGCCACAGCTGCCCCGGGGCACACTGACCAAAGCCACAGCTGCCCCGGGGCACACTGACCAAAGCCACAGCTGCCCCGGGGCACACTGACCAAAGCCACACCTGCCCCGGGGCACACTGACCAAAGCCACAGCTGCCCGGGGCACACTGACCAAAGCCACAGCTGCCCGGGGCACACTGACCAAAGCCACAGCTGCCCGGGGCACACTGACCAAAGCCAAAGCTGCCCCGGGGCACACTGACCAAAGCCACAGCTGCCCCGGGGCACACTGACCAAAGCCACAGCTGCCCCGGGGCACACTGACCAAAGCAAGGCCTGTAGTCTGAGCCATCAGCTCCTCCAACACCACACAGCAGACATGTCAGTTAAGGGCATTGCCACATTTTGGAGGAGCAGTGGCTCTACTCCGAGGCTCCTCACCTGTTTCTGAGGGTGCAGAGGCTCTACTCTGAGCTCCTCTAAGGGAGCGACTCATTGATCATTCCCCAAAGACGCTGAGTTCAGGAACGTGGTCCAGTAAATCTAGAGTTGTACCTTTGGCCTCAGCTCTGACGGCAGACGCTGCTCCCTCTTCACCACAGTCAGACACAGCTCTGACTGCAGACGCTGCTCCCTCTTCACCACAGTCAGACACAGCTCTGACTGCAGACGCTGCTCCCTCTTCACCACAGTCAGACACAGCTCTGACTGCAGACGCTGCTCCCTCTTCACCACAGTCAAACACAGCTCTGACTGCAGACGCTGCTCCCTCTTCACCACAGTCTGACACAGCTCTGACGGCAGACGCTGCTCCCTCTTGATGACATCACACTCCTGTTTTGAAAGAGAATCTCCTTTTTCCAAATGATGCCAGTTTTCCAGTTTTCCAGACTCCATTCCCGCCTCCTTCTGTATCAGTGATTATTATAAATGATTCTGACGGTTCTTTCCACAAATGTTTTCCAAGAGAAACACGGATCACATTCCGACAGAACCGACAGAACCAGATTCTGACATTTGAAGTTTGGAAACACACTTTATCTCCAACTTTATGGATGAAAAACGATGATGTCACTTTGGAGACGTTTCCAGAAGGTTTAGTTTCAGACTCATCAAAGTCTGGAGAGTTTTACACGTTTAAAGTTTACAGTTACTGTATATATATATATATATATATATATATATATATATATATATATATATATATATATATATAAGCATGTTATATATGTTTACTGTATATATATATATCTATAATCTACACTACTGTTCAAAAGTTTGGGGTCACATTGAAATGTCCGTTTTTTTGAAGGAAAAGCTGTAGATAACTTTAAACTAGTCTTAACTGTAAAGAAACACACTCTAAACACTGTTATGTGGTAAATGACTGTAACTGCTGCAAATGGAGGAAGTAAAACATTCTTATTTCAAATACAAATAATTATTTCTAACCTTGTCTTGACTCTATTTTCTTTTCATTTCACAAAGTACGGTGGTGAATAAGTGACTTTTCATGGAAAACACATTGTAGGATTTTTAAAGAATTTATTTGTAATTATGTTGGAAAATAAGTATTTGGTCAATAACAAAAAATCAACTCAATACTTTGTAATATAACCTTTGTTGGCAATAACAGGTCAAACGATTACTATAGGTCTTTACCAGGTTTGCACACACAGTAGCTGGTATTTTGGCCCATTCCTCCATGCAGATCTTCTCGAGAGCAGTGAACACGGACACGGGGCTGCACGGTGGCTGAGTGGATAGCACTCTTGCCTCTCAGCAAGAAGGTCCTGGGTTCGAATCCCGGTCGGACCAGGGCCTTTCTGAGTGGAGTTTGCATGTTCTCCCCGTGTCTGCGTAGGTTTCCTCCGGGTACTCCGGTTTCCCCTACCACTAAAAATATGTCCAATAGTTCTAGCATGCGCCTCCTGTACTGGCCCCGCTCCCATCTCTGTGAGGAGTGAGAGACAAATGCCCAAAAATTAACAATTGTAAACCGCTTTGAGACTCTGATCTGCAGTGAAAAGGCGGTATATAAATAAAGATTACTTAAATTACTTACTTTCAACTCCCTCCACAGATGT